ATTTTCACCGCAATCATAGGTAAACAGACGGTGACACAAATCAACACTAGTGAAGACAGCAGTGTCGAAAGGCACTAAAACAGCCTGAAAATGTGTGAAGTTGTAACAACAAAAGACAAGGGCCAGGCAACAGATCGTTTTATTACGAAAATCAACGCGTATTTATATATATTTTATGTACATTAATAAGGCTTATGCAAGCAGAAAAAGGCAGTCTTCTGATTGGTTGTTTCTCGGAAGTTAAGCAGACAAACACAGTCTTATGATTGGTTGTTTTCGATATTTCTCGGAAAGTAGAGCCATTTATCTGCGAATCATATTTGCCCACATTTAAGTTTGCTGTGATTGGTTGTTGAAACAGCCTAGATTAATGTCTACCAATCAGCGTCGATTAATGTCTAACAATCGGCTAGCAGCCTGCTCTCACCACACTCGTCCCCCCGTCAAATAGCTTCGTGCGCAGACGTTCCGACCTTCTGGGTGCTACATCCTCTAGTTGAGGATTGTTACTGACCGGCTTGTCCCACTGTACCCATCTTTGGAGCTGACTGGCGTTAACTCGTTTCTGTTTATCACCTCTTCGGATGGTATATACTTGACCCCGTCTTTTTGTGATTGTGTATGGTCCTTCCCACTTTGGAAGGAGTTTCCGTGAACCTAGCCCGCCTCCAACTGTATATCTCCTGTCTCTACACTTCACTTGGTCCCCGACTGCAAAGGTAATGCACTGCGTCCTTTCTTTCATCTGAGACTTCGCGACATCACTGCGCTGCTTCCGTATTACATTCTTGACTGCCTCTTTCCTCTCTGCTTTTAATTTCGTCGTACTCCACTTTTGGTGCATGGGCCAGGTCTCATTGTGTACCGGTAATCGTGGTTTTCTACCATACATCAGTTGGAAGGGTGACTTCTTCGTTGTTTCCTGAGTGGTAGCCCGATGTGTTAGTAAAATCAGTGGAAGCTCCGTTTCCCAGTTCCCGCCCTTCGAGGCCAGCCACTCCTTCAGTGTACGGTTGTTTCTCTCCGTTAGGCCATTCGTTTGTGGATGGTATGGGGTCGTTCTGATCCTCTTGATGCCCAGCTGTTGCAAACGGGAAGTAAACTCTTCACTCTCGAAACAGGGACCTTGGTCTGTCAGTATTGTCTTCGGTACGCCGTGGTCTGCAACAATGTGTCTAACTACTGCATCTGTCACGGTTCTTGCACGTTGGTCTGGGATTGCTACGGCGTCTACCCATCGTGTCGCGTGTTCCGTCATCACCAAGAGGTACTGATTACCATTGGATGTCTGAGGAAATGGACCCATGACATCTACGGACCACAAGTCACCTATCGCGGTAACTGGAATCGACTGAAGTGGTGGTCGTATACACCGGTCACCTTTCATCAGCTGGCACCGTGGACATCCAAGTACGTATCTTGCTACGTCTTCTCTCATACCTGGCCAGTACATACTTTGTCTTAGGAGGTCGGTCGTTCTGGCCACGCCTGTATGCGCTAGCTGGTGACATTCTTCTATCATGTCGTGGCGCGACGATTGAGGTATGACAGCCAGCCAGCTTCCGTCGTTCTCTCGCCAGGTCAGAGTCCCGTAGGCATTCACTCTGAGTCGATCCCTCTGTCTGAGTAGTGTGGTTAGCTCCTTACTCGCCGTAGTTTGATCCACTTCTATTCCGTTGGTGATCACCTGTATTACTGTATTCAGCGTATCGTCCAACCTCTGCCTACGTGCAAGTCTTAGTGGGTCTTGTTCTACTGCATGCACTCCGTAAGCGACCTCGGGCAACTCAGACTCATCTTCTGGTCTCGATAACAAATCTGCCAAGACATTTTCACTTCCAGGAACGTGTGAGATCGTAAAATCGTACTCCTGAAGACGCAACATCCACCGTGACAACTTCCCCCGTGGGTCTCTCGCTGTCTTCAAAAATTGTAGCGGCTTATGATCAGTTTCGATGTGGAACCGCCGGCCGAGTAAATAAGGTCTCCATTTGTCGACTGCCCATACCATTGCTAAACATTCTTTCTCTATCGTTGAATACTTTCTCTCTGTGAGTGTCAAAACCCTACTGGCATACTCAACGATTCCCTCGTCCTGTCTTAGGACCGCACCTATAGCGTAGTCACTGGCATCTGTGCACACTGTGAACTGTCTTCCTGGCACAGGTAGTTTTAGCGTCATTTGTTGGTGGTCGAGCAGCTGTTTAATTCTGTCGAATGTCCTCTGCGATTCTTCCGACCAAACAAACTTTGGCTCACCTAGTAGCCTGTATAGAGGGGCTGCTATCTCATTGAAGTTCTTCACGAAGCGACTATAAAACGCTGCTCTACCCAAGAATTGTCTCAGTTTTCTCTTTGAATTCGGGGCTGGAATCGTTTTAATCGTCAAAATTTTCTCCGGCAGTGGTTTAATCTCACCATTTCCCACTTTATGTCCCAACAGAGTAACATTCTTTTTGGCTATCTGGGACTTGGTTTTGTTGACGCGTAGTCCAAACTCTTCGATGCGTCGCAGCACGGCTTCTACATGGTTGACGTGATCGTTTTCGTTTTGACTGTATATGACGAGATCATCACCATAAACCTCCACGTTTTTCAAGTTCTTAAGTAATAGCTTCATCAGTCGTCTGAACGTAAACGGTGCACCTGCTAGTCCAAACGGCATGCGTTTAAATCGATATTGTGTCTGACCCACGATGAATGCCGTCTTATCTCTATCACCTGGTTTTATCGGTATCTGCCAGATTGTCCAGTGCGTCAACGTGCAACAAAAGCAGGAGTTAAATGCAAGCTACAATATACTTAACTAAATAGCAAAGAAAACTGCCAGGGAAGACAAAGGACATTATTATTAAGCTATGGCAAGTGGAGCAGAACAAGCTGCAATGCAGGAATTGGAAGAAAGGCTACTTTTTGAAACTGCCAAATTAAGGAGAATTAAGTCGATGCAAGAACTGGAGCGGCATTGTGCTCCTGTCTGTGCCAAGCAAAATACTGAGCTGCATCATCCTGGAGAGTATCAAACTCGCCGCCCTGGATGAAAAACTTCGACCAGAACAGGATGGATTCGGAGCAACAGGTCAAGCATAGATTGAATCGCAACACTAAAGAATGTCAGTCGGCTGTCTACCACAAATTCATTGGCTTTGAAAAGGCCTTCGACAGCGTCGATCGACAGGTGATTTAGCAACTACTTCGCTACTACGGGGTGACTCCAACAATCGTAGAATTGCATGGAGGATTTAATCATGAGCTGACATCAGTTAGAGAACCACTGGAAAACCTGGGAGTACTGGACAGCTGTCCGAGAAACTCATTGAATTCTTCTAAGAAATGAAGATGGGAGTTAGACAAGCTGGCTGCTTACTATCTTCAGTGATTTTCCTGACTGTGGTAGACTGAGTAATGCGATAGACACATAGTGAGCATTAGGGAGACAGATAAAAAGGACTCACACAAAATGTTGGACTTCGCCGATGATATATGTCTGATTTCCGATTAATTGAAAGATATGTAAATGAAAAGCAACAAGTTGGCTGAAGAAACATCCAGAGAGAAAAAAATATAGGTGAACATAAGAAACGCAGAGGTGATGGAGACGCCTGCTCAACGGCAACGGCTACCACAACGACAAAAGACAACAATCGGACAGCATAAATGGGAGGAATCTGAAAGAAGAAACCTCCTTCACATACCTACCTACCTGGGAAGCATCTTCATAACAACCACAGGTGGAAGGAACTGATGTGGATATCAAAAGGAGAATCCGAAAGGCAAGGCGAGCCTTCATTACTCTCAAGTCTCTGTGAAGATCAACAGCACACCTCAACATCAAAATATGATCCGAATTTTCAACTCCAGTGTGAAGTCAGTGGTACTTACCATACGGATCAGAGACTGGGCGCCACGCCGCGCCATGTCAAGGCCACTACGAACCAACTACGGACCTTTTCAATGGCTGTCTTTACTCAGTGCTACTCAAGATCACATGGCTGGCCAGGAACGATCAGCAATAGTCATGGGTCTGTGGAGGGAACTAACCCAGCAAGAACCAATTGTGCTACAAATACGCAAAAAAAATGGAGGAGGAGTGAACACCATACTCTGAGAATACAAGTCATCAAGTAACATCACCCTCAATGCAGGCCATTACCCGTTTGGAAGGCGATTGGGAAGCGGTGAGTCGGTCGTCAGTGCGAGAGTGACATGGAGGAGGTCATGTGAAGAGGAGATGAAAGCATGTGGGCAGACTTGGAGCCAGATGAAAACTCTAGCAGAGAACCGAACGCAATGGAGACGTGTGGCTGAAGCCCTATGTTCCTGTAGGAACTAAAGGAAAAAATAATATAATAATACACAAATAAATCAGAGAAACAGGCATAAACTAGCTGTATTATATGATACTCAGGCGTATCAACTTCAAGATAATGCATGTGATGTCAACAAATACCTTACAAACATTACTCAGCCCCGTATGCAATGCGAAAATTTGGAAGTTTCATAAAATCCACCATTTCTGGACTTTAAAGTAACGCAGACTTATTGGAAATACTTCAAAGGGGCATAATATATTTATCCTTGATGTGATCTGTTTACCGTGGGAGTAGCAAATAAGGAAACTCAGACGTCTTCAACCGTACAACACGAAATACAAAGTCTAATGTTTGTGTTCAGAATTTAAGGAGAGCAACTTGGACTGCATTTATCCTCCCTTCTCCTACCAATCAGATGGGGCAACTTCAAAAAGGTATCTTCGAAGAGAACAGAAGCCCAGAAGTCAATTCCATTTAGCTTTTCAGTTCTGAAAAAATATCCCAGAACATGAACTCTTTGCATCTTCAGACGAACCAGCCGGGAAGAAAAACACTGACGTTTACGCTCAACAGGTTAGTATTCTTCTACCAAAATTCAGAAATCTTAAATATAAAATATATATCTGAAGTCCCGTGACCAGCTTGAATACCTCATAAATCCTAGTTGAAACAGGGGGGAAATAAACAGTTAAGCGGAAATTAATGGCCATTACACTGTTACCGGTATGTAATATTTCAAAAATTAAGTTTTGTTTTTCTACGTCAAATGCAATTAGTTGTTATAATGATGAGCTGAAACAATTATGAATTTCGACTCTAATGGGATTAGAATTACTCAAGATCAGCTCAAAGCAATTGATGAATATGAGGAGTATAGACGGTATCTTTTCATTTTAAAAATTCGATTTTCTTGTATTACAAGAATTGTTGGAGAAGACGATGGTGGGAACCTGTTTACGCCTGAGCAATATGAAGCATATAAAAAGAAATATATACCGCTGGTATGATAAAGTAATACTTTTAAACTTCAAATTAAGAGACGTCAAAATAGAATATTTGTTTCGTGGACGAACCCAAATGGAGTCGATTGCATACTTCCTGGTCCTCAAAGTGAATGCTTTTGCCAGCACCGGTATGATTGCCTAAAAAAATTTGATACTTTACTCTCCAAACCTGATCCGTCTTGTTTTTTAAATAAGATTGTATTGTGAGACATTTTTGAGTTAAGGAAGTTCCACTAGCTGATTATCAAATCCGGCGTCATTATAGTAAACTACGGAATGTTGACTTTGTTAGTAAGATTCTTAAGAAGTTTTATACCTTAGGCCAAAAGGTTTAAAGCTAAGGAATAATTCTTCAAGCCACCCTAGCTAAAAAACTATTCAGCCACTTCTATCTTTTTCAGCCGGAATTATTAAACCTGTACCCTTCAGAGCCTTGGCGAATGCCAGACAGACAACATTTCCCTTAAGAAGTCGGGTTTCATTTCTGGTTTGCCAGTGTATTGAGGTGAACCAAAGTTGTATGTAAATCACTGAATCCTCTGAAAATTTTTTATAAGACTGTTAACGTAGTTTTGTAACATATTTCATTGGGTGATGTAGAGTTGGAGACCAGTTACTTTGAAGCTACATTAAACCACTAAAAATGTATAACACTTCCGGACTTTGCTTTTTAAGGCAATATTACACAGACTTTGAACTTAACAGTAAATGCACTTAGAGTTAGTTTCGTGCATAGTGTACTACTATGTCTAACATTCAATGTAGCCCGACACTTCTCTTTATTGTTATTCTTATCACATATATATGTATATTGACTGAGCAATTATTTAGTGCCACTTAATAACCTTTTTCTGTAATAACACGACTGTACAGCTTGAAAATGAAGTCGTTGAAAAGAAACTTCTTTGCTGAACAAAAAACTGTGTTTTTACTTATGAATAAATGGGTATTTTTCATGAGTTCTCGTTAGCCCTACTCGGAGCTTAACCCAAACATTAAATGCTAGTCAAGTGAAAACCACCAGGAAATAATTTACATTTGTCAGTTCTGACTAACCAGCACTCAATAGAGTGCGGTAGTTGTTCTTGATCACTCTTTTGCTGACTAATTGTGATTTCTATTGTTTCACTTTACTACATCAAACCGACTTTAAATAATGCACCATTTTATCTACTATGTCCGTGGTACATTTTAAAACAGACTGGAGTGACATATTTCAAACTTATTTATAGAATATGCCCCAATCATTAAAAGTAACTTCTGAGGCTAGAGCAGTTTAAATAAAAAATATAATACGATTTGATATGCACTCGTCGGCTATGAGAAGCTGCATGCCTCAATATAGCAACCTCGTTTGCAGATACATATATATAATTCTAAAATACACCAAAACGTAGACAAAATATACCTGAAGACAATTTCTGTACACGAATTTAAGTACTGTTATTAAGCCTCATCTTCCTGAAAACAGAGACATTTCCCTTTAAAAAAGTGAAGCCGCCCTGTTTCCTGTATTTTGAATATCTTAGATTAGTCTGACGAATCATCAACCAATTAATGTGTATCTTCCAACTTAAGCTCCTTTCGATTTGAAAAACTACTTTACGATGGGTTTGAGCCCGTCTGTATAAGCTTCAGAAGCATAAATTTCCAGTCTGTGGCTAATACCTTTCCATAACAAAATTTCTTATACCCTTTCTTTGAGCTAATAAATTGTGGCTAACACTGCATACCATACGACTTACAAGCTGTTAAACTGGTCACATGGTAGGCTATTACATCGATAAACAAAAAAAGGTGTTCATAGTTTTTGTGATACTGTTGTAATACTCAATTTTAATTGTAATTTGGCAGTAATCAAGATTGCACAAACCAATAATGATCATCATATTAGTTATAAATCAAGCTCTTTTAGTCAACAAAACTTTCTGGGTTGCGTAAATAAATAAAAAGAAATAAACAATCATAGTTCTCTAAATGATAAAATAACTGAAATACTATCCTGCTGCAATTAAAGGAGGCTGGTACTTTCTTTTATGTCCTAGTAATGAACTGTAACCTGAAATGCTGTCAAGAGTGAAGTCAGTAAAGCCAATGCACTATGTAATAAGTAGCTTTTATAGATTCTTAGTACTACCTCAAGATGTTAAATTTCTGAATAAAAAGTGAAGAGAAAAAAAGAGTTTTGACAATTTTCAAAGCTTTTAGCAACGAATAATTCAAGTATCAGTTTAATGTTACTGTAGCTACATAGCGACTTCGAATAATGATTTCGACTTCGCTGGTCATCCTTACCAGTGACAATTTACTTGGATACAAGACGTAGTTACTGTATGTGAAGACTCATAGCTATACTTAACTGTTTAATCTTACTTAATAAAGCACGGATGGATTAAAAGCATCTATGTTCTGCGTAAAAGTCCTGCAGGTAGTTCAATAACATCGCGTTAATTCTGAGTACATCTGGCTTAGAATATGAGTATTGAGTTATAATCGTTATTCACTATGATATTGTTTGAAAAATATCTTTCTTTGTAAGCTGAAGGTTCTATATGAATTATCAACAGTTTGAACTCTTCATTCATCTAGCGAAGTACTTATTGTCAGATATTGGCTTTAATTTTCATGATAACCTTATTACATGGAAGAAAGTCAGCTGATCCGAACTGGAATATGTCAGTTGATTTCCATAGAACTACTGTTTACATTGTGCCACTGTGGTTTAATGTTGGAATGAGTGCCAACCACCTACGCAGTCATGATTCGATTCCCGGTCGACTCACTCCTAAACCTACTCTAGTCAACCAAACGTCAGAAAGCCCGGAATACAAGGAAAAGTAGAGTGTATTGTTATTACTATTATTATTATTATCTTCTTTAATTCCTAGAGGAACATAGGGCTTCAGCCGCGTATCTTCATTGCGTTCGGTTCTCTGCTAGAGTTTTCATCTGGCTCCAAGTCTGCCCATATGCTTTCATCTCCTCTCCATATAACCTCTTCCTCCATGTCACCTTCGCACTGATGACTAACTCGCCGCTTCCCTTACGGGTTCCACTCGAGCAATGGCTTGTCTAGTGATGTCACTTGATGGTTTCCTCAGACTATGGCCAGCCAATTCACCTCCATTTCTTCCTGCTTATTTGTTGTACAATCGGTTCCTGCTGAGTTGATTCGCTCACTGCCAGAGGTCCCTGTTGGTGATCTTCTCTGGCCGGCCATCTGATCTTGAGTATTATTGAGTGAAGACAGCTGTTGATGGAGATCACTAATTTTTTCGAAGTGCCCTTCGTAACACGGTGCCAAGTGTCTTATCCGCCTAGTAAGTAGCACTGCCTTCACATTGGAGTTGAAAATCTGGATCTTATTTTTCATGCTGAGTAGTGCTGTTAACCTCCACACAGACTTGAGAGTAATGAAAGCTTGTGTTGCTTTCCCGATCCTTGCTTTAATATCCTTGTCAGTTCAGCCTGTAGTTGAAACGATGCTTCCCACGTAGGTAGGTAAAGGAGGTTGTTTCTTTCAGGTTCCTCGCATTTATGCTTGCTTATTGTTGTCTGTTGTTGTTGGTGTTGCTGTTGACCAGGAATCTTCATCACCTACCTCTGTCTTCTCTATGTTCTGCTGAAGTTCCATCTTTGATGCTTCTTCTGTTAGTCGTAATAAAACTCCACTTTACTGAGAATATCAAAGATTAGATCTATATAAACATATATATGTAAATGAGAATATTTGTTGCTCAGCCAGAAGATTTTGATGTAGTTTTGTTTTCTGACCTGGATGGTTTACCTGCGAAGCCTTCATTTACCTACTAGGCAACATCAGCGCATACTTCAATTTGAAGACTTCAAGATGTTGCCTGGAAGGGAAATGAAAGCTTCGTAAGCATACCATGCAGTTTGGAGAACACAACAATATTCAAAGTATATATATATATATATATACATATATGCATTGAATTCCATTCCCACTGCTTACTGTATTATAAACCTTGCTCAGTGTTTTATTTTGAATTACCTAATTCTTTCATCTATTTTACTGTTATTGTTTTTAGTCTTATACAGCATAAAACAGATTTCGAAGTAGTACCTACAGAACGTCCTGTACCTCTGCCATGTAAACACTGCAATTGTGCAAGTTTTCATGTGATGCCAAAATTTGGAAGTCAAATAGCACGTTGTCATTGTAAACATTATGCTACAGATCATAGTGTGGTTAGTTGTGAATACTATACTATACTATTGGGCTATTATTTTTTTTTCTGGTTTTGTTTAATACATGTCGTGTAAATGAACACCTTAAACACTAAGTGTTATTCTGTGTGTAATAGATTTCATAACCAGGTGGTAAATTAAACCGGTTGAACATTATGATGTATGCTGTACACATGCTAGTTGAATAGGATTTACGCTACTTCGTTTAGTTATCCTGCGGCCTTTCTATTAGGATAATAATTTATGGTTGCATATGTGTGTAACCAATATGGAGTTACAGTAGCTTTTTGCTGCCGACTAAAGTCATTTATAGAAAGAGTGACTTTCTTATTATATTTTTGGATTATCTAACAAAGAACATGCGTCAGTAGCACAGCGGTTAGAACGCTCGCTGACCACGCTTCATGTAGTCCGAGGTTCGATCCAAGGCCACGGATGCACTGCTCTACCTCGCACTAAGCCAGAAATAAAAAAACCTTGTAAAGAGGATAGGTTGGGCATAAGTCTGGCTAGCAACCCCATTTTGTAAAAAAATATTCACCACTGCTACAGAAACTTGAAGCCACTCGGCTTGAAGTCCTACGTTCCACCGGGAATGTGTAGGAATATAAAAAAAAACAAGTAACATGCATAACCCTTCATAATCGAAACTTGAAAGTGTCGCTTTCACCTACAGGTGGTAAAAATGACATTGTCAAACCCAGCGAAAATTGAATAAGCAACCAAAGCGTTCACTTACTCTGGAATCTATGTGGAAATCTGACAACAGGAATAAAGTAGACAAAGTTTAACAATAGCGTTCGAAGGGATACGAACGTGAGAGTGTCCTTGAGACGACCAATCATAAAAAGGAGGAATTTTTGCATGAAAAATGATGTATATTTACAAGAAAATGCATGAAAACACATTAAACAGGGTATCTTTCTCTTCTAACGTGACTTCAAAGTACGTTCCAGTTATAATGAGGAGTATCAGTTGCTAAGTTAGACTAGTTTCTGTACATTTGTATTCACCGAGATGGCTGAAGATGGGCTGTTTTTGTGAATCGTTTATCTCTCTTATCCTGTTGTGTAGTCTTCCCCGATAGCCCTTGGCTAAATAATTATGGTGTCCAGTAAGAGAATCGACAACTACTTACCAGGAAAATCTAGATAATAAAACAAATTCAAACAAATGACATCAACTCTAAATCTATCCTTAATCGTAACCCTAACCTTAATCCTAATTATGACTCTGATCCTAGCCCTAACGAAGCTATCAACAAATTGTCCAAAAAGCAATTAAATACATGATCTGAGTGAAATTTGCTCCTTAAGTTGGTGAATCGCGTTGGTATTTCAAGTATGATAATGGCAGGTGCCGTTAGGCAACAATTAGCATGCGTTCAAGGTCATTGGAGTGTTCGCACTCCTGGGACACTATTGATGAACCTATTTATTCTAGAAAATATCTTAACACATAGTACAGAATTTTCAGTGTATTTAAATTTGAAAAAAATATCTACACTTCATAGAGGATCTTCATGTAAAATGGTATTTGGCAGTACATCATGTGTGGTCGTGTTAATCCATCTGAAGCAGTACCCAGATCTACATTATATTTTCTCCTCCATTTTGTTGAAAAGTGCTCTGTATTACAGCAAACTAAAACTATGCGTGCGAGTTCATATTAGTGATCGAAAAGAAAACACAGTTAAACGATTAAACCAATGGGAAGAAATGCAGATGAATTTATGCAGCATTATATCAGATGAAACTTTTAATATATGTGTAAAACTTACGAATTGTGGTAGTAAGTAGTTCCATATTAGTTTTTTTTTATTAGATATATCATACAGTCTGTGAAATAGTATTATTGTTTACTGGATGTCAAGGTTTCGAACACAATCAATTATTGTTCATAATCATATCAATTAGAATCACACGACTTCGATACTTGAGTTTTATAGTATTCTTTGTTCTCTTCTATTTGTAGTCGTTAGGGTAGTAGAATTTTCCGAATGTCCTACTGGACAGGTGTTGAATCATTCCTATTACACGTAATTTCATTGAGTTGATTCGATAAACAAAGCTTTCCACACATTCAAACAGATATTTGGACTTCTGAGTTCAGGAGAACTCCACAGATATCCATATAGATTTCATCACAAACCCATATGAGTTAGAAGAAAAAACGATTAGAAACCATGGAGTACTAGGTGGACGCTTTCTCTTTAATTTCGAACCCGTTTAACAATACACCAATGAGCGAAATCAGAATTCATATACTAATGAGTTTCAGCCCAGCAGTTCAATGAAAATTGTACTAGTGTAGTAATAATCTGAAGATCCTGGGTTCCTTCAGTGGTGAAGTCATAGGTCCCCACTGTTGTATGGTTTTCGTGGATCCTCTCTGTCTCGCTCTACCTGATATCACTTCATGACATGTTATACCTTAAAAAGTAAGTGTATTTTCATTCTATTGATGAATACCAATGTCCATTATCTTTCTTTTTGTTTAACAAATTTTAGGTGGCTCCATACTTTTGTTCAAGGCCTAATTGTAAATGTGATGGTTTTAAAACAAGTATGCATTGTGATTGTGGCATTGAAGCGCATAAACACGAAATGATTGTAAGTGATCGCCATTTTGTTCTGCTTTTTTTTATTATATTATATTATATTAGTATTATTCCCTTGGGTTTCGAGTTGAACACAAGAATTCAGCAGCAGGAAATCTGCATTTCACACTGTTCTCTTCAGTTGTCATCTTTATTTGGCCCCACGACTACCATTAGGCTTTAATCTCCTCCCCCTCACACGATGTCTTTCATATCACCTTCAGATGCCTAACTCATCGTTTCCAATTCGGATTCCCCTCGAGTGATCACCTGGCAAGCGATGTCATTCTACGTTCCTTTCAGTGCGTGGCTGATCCACTTTCATTTTTCTTCGGTAGATTTGTTGAGCAATAGGTTCTTGGTTGATTCGTCGCTAGAGTTTCTTATGACTGATTCTTTCTGACTGACCAAGTAATCTTCACTGTAAAGAGGAGGCAGTCATTGACACAGATCTCCATGGGGCCTGCTGGAAATGCTTTTTGCAATGCATGCACTATATTATTAGATGGTTGGAGGCAATCGGTAACAGGAAGCCTTACTTGACCTAGGTTTTCTGCTAGTTGGCATTCACCAGTCAGTCAGCAAGGCGTATCTGCGACCTTCAAGGAACTCATGTCGTGGGTTCGAATCTCAGAAGGAGGGACATGAGTTCCTTGAAGGTTGCAGATACGCCTTGCTGACTGACTGGTGAATGCCAACTAGCACGAAACCTAGGTCAAGCAAGGCTTCCTGTGGCCGATTGCCTCCAACCGTCTAATATCATCAAATCAATGCGCACCATGATAGCGAGCCACCTAGTGGAATGGTGTCCACATTGCACCAAAGAAAGGACTAGACACACCACACTAGTTATCAGTGTCCAATCAAAGCATGCACTGTGTTTCTAACCCATATGAAAGAATCGAATCAACATTGGAGCTGAAAATCTGAACCTTGTTCTTTATGTTGAGCTCAGTAAATTTTCGAAATTACTTCAGAGTAATCAATGTCTGTTTTGTCTTTCCGATTCTGGTTCCGTCTCTTGCAGTTGCAACGACGCTGCCTAGGCACGTAAACGAACTGATATTTTTCAAATTTCTTCCGTGGATGGTGGCTGTTGTTAGTTGGTTGTTTTCAACAGCTTCAACTTCTATTTTTGCATTTGAAGTCTTCTATTTGCAGCTTCTTCAGCCAACTTGTTACTTTTGCCTGTAAGTTTCCGAGCTTTTGTGACACTCGATACAAATCATCCGCTAAATCCAGACCTTCTAGATTCTGCTTATCGATCCAACGTTTCCTTGTCTTCCACATAATCTAATCCACCACAATCAGGAATACAGCCTTATGTAACTCCTTTGCTCACTTCCAAGGGTTCATTGAGTGTTCTGTTGTGGCACTGTCACATAGCTGTTGAATTAGGTTGATACAGATTTGCGACACACCCATAGTGTTTTATAGTATGCTATATGTTATTTAATTCAATTTTAGATTTTCCCGTCGATTGATTGGACCGAGGTGTTCGGTCTTCTTGTGCGGATGCTTCTACGATGTCTAGACATGTAATTAGAAGTTAACTGGTGGATGGTGACTAACAGTGGAATCAATCAGGATGCGTATTTCTTCCCATTTGGGATTCACGTCAGCTGGATGTACCTGCATTCCACAGTGAGTCAGTGATGATGTTCCTACCACCAAGGCTCAAACCCAGTGCCCAAAGTTTAACACTAAGGCTAAAATCAAAATTTCCTCCTATCAAAAGTTTTTGATTGATGCAATATTCTTTAGACAATAAGCTGGCTAAATATTTTGAAAAATAACTCAACTGTCTCTCAAATTTTAGACATTATGAATAAGGACCAATTAAGAAGATGAGCATTTAGAGTCCATATATATCAGTTAACCTCATACTGTGACCATTTAGTTGAGTTACACCATGCTGTGATACCTTTTTAAGCCTAGTTCCTTCAAAGAACTGGACATACACCAAAAAGGGTTTGTTGATAATCAGTATTGAGGTAGATCCACAAAACCGTATTCTTATTCTTATTATTATATCCTTTCATTCCTAGAGGAACATAGGGCTTCAGCTGCGCATCTCCATTACCTTCTGTTTTCTGCCAACTTTTTCACCCCGCTCCAAGTCTGCCCACATGCTTTCATGTCCTCTTCACATGACCTCCTCCAAGTCACCCTTGCACTGACGACCAACTCGCCGCCTCCCTTTTGGGTTCCACTCGAGCAATGGCTTGTCTAGTGATGTCACTTGATGCTTTCCTCAGCTTATGGCCAACCAATCCATCTCCATTTCTTCCTGCTTATTTGTTTCACAATCGGTTCCTGTTAGGTTGGTTCGCTCATTGCCAGAGATCCCTGTTGCTGATCTTTCCTGGCCGGCCATCTGATCTTGAGTGGCATTGAGCGAAGACAACTGTTGATGAAGATCTGTAGTTTCTTTGAGGTGCTCTTTATGACGCGCAGTTCAAGTCTCTGATCCGTATAGTGAGTAGTACTGACTTACTTCACATTTGAGTTGAAAATCCGGATGTTATTTTTGATGCTGGAGGTTGTTGACTTCCACACAGACTTAAGAATAATGAAATCTTTTCTTGCTTTTACGATTCTGGCTTTGATATCCTTGTCAGTTCAGCCTGTAGTTGAAACGATACTTCCCAGGTAGGTAGGTAAAGGAGGTTGTCTCTTTCAGGTTCCTCGCATTTATGCTGGCTGATTGTTGTCTGTTGTTGTTTCTGTTGCTGTTGGTCAGGAATCTTCATCACCTCTGTTTTCTCTATGTTCACCTGAAGTCCTATATTTGATGCTTCTTCTGTCGACTTTTTGCTTTTCACTTGCATATCTTCCAGTTTGTCGGAAATCAGACATATATCACATCGGCAAAGTCTAGATCCTCCAAGTTCCTTTTTTGTGAGGGTCCATTTTATGCCTGTTTCCTCATCGCCCGCCGTTGTCTGTCGTCTTATCCAATCCACTGCAATCAGGAAGATCATTGGTGATAGTAAGCAGCCTTGTCTCACTCCCGTCCTCACTTCGAAGGCTTCCGTAAGTTTCCCGTTGTGGATAACTGGGCATGCAGAATTGTCGTATAACTGTTGTATGAGATGTATACTTGTCGATGGGACCCCGTAGTAGTAGCGAAGTAGTTGCCAAATCCCCTCTCGATCGACGCTGCGCTGTCGAAGGCCTTTTCAATGTCGATGAAGTTGAGATAGAGAGGTGACTGCCATTCCATGCTTTGTTCAATGGTGACCTGTAGTGTGACGATTTGATCAATACATGACTTGTTTTTCCTGGATCCAGCTTGTTCTGGTCGAAGATTTTCATCTAGGGCTTGTACTATGTTAGGAACTCAGCGGTTAGGCGAAATGCATCAGTGATAAGTCTTACTTATATCAACACCGAAATATTAAGCATTAGAATGTGATATGAAGGAGTTCAGTCAACGAATTAAATAACTGATCAATAAATGTCAGTCAGCAGAAGTGGGAACGACTGGTTTTACCTCCTATAGAATGGCGAATCCCAATACTTTATACAGTCCAAGATGCGTTCTTTTATTGATTAAATTCCTCTGTGACAACACAAATTTGGATCTTCAGAAGGATACAAGATGTTTTCGGAGTCTTATGCCAAGAGGTAAGCTATCTAAGCTTAACACATATCTATAGCATATGCACCCTAACGTTGCACTACGGATATAGACAAGTATCCATGTCAATTTAGGCGATTTTAGCACATGCAAGGAATAAGCGCCTCAGCAGTATGCTTCGGTTCACCCGAAGTGATTCAACTCAAATGCCGGAGGTATGGTAGATATTATTACCACCATTGTGTCAGTGGCACAGAGGTTAAGACTCTCGCCGATCATGCACATGGTCTGGGTTTCAATTCCCTGCAGACGCACACCTGATATCAATGATCGGCCTGCAAAATTTGGGCTACTGACATCACATGCTGAAATTTCCATACCTGTAACAAAATACGGTGTGGAATCAAGCTATAATCAAAATTAAATTAAAATTAAAGTAAAAAAGTAAGCCGCATTATTCTTGGAAGACTGTTTGCAATAGAATGGATTCAAGATAGACAAATCATGTTGGTATGTAGAACTGCGGAATTAGAAATTATCATCCAACAGAGCCTAGAATGAGAGTCAGCTCTCTACTACAACTTTGAGGATGCCTTCTACAGTGTCAACCATGAAATAATTTGGTAACTACTTCCAGACCATGAAGTGCGGTGCCACAGACCTCTATAAACCTCACTCAGCAGCTATATGATGACGCAGAAAACGTACTAAGGCGTTTTAAGTGAAGACAGGAGTAAGACGAGACGGTCCAGTATCAACGATGATATTTCTAGCTGTGGTGGAGTTGACGGAATAGGCAGGGAAGGAAGGACTTCAAGTCGGCGAAGAGAAGACAGTAGTGTTGGAGATAGCCAACTAACCAACAGCAAGGATCAATCATCAGCAACGAGAGAAATCTATAAGAAGCCATCTCCTTGAACAGCATTGTTTCAACTAAAGGCAATGACGAGGATTAGAAACCAAGATAGCCCTTCATTACTCTGATATCGGTGTGAAGATCTACAACACTAAAAACAAGGAACAAAGTCTAAATTTTTAATAGCAATATGAGTTCAGTACTTTTGTACGCTTCAGAGACTTGGTGTGTAACGAAAAGCATATTTAACAGCTTCTTACATCTCTCATTGATATAAGAATAAAACTTGTGCACTGTGGTAGAGTTCAATTCCATTATGGGTAAAACTTATTTTGATAAAGTCTCACGGTGTTATACAGTAGTGTTTACTGATGACCATGTTTCGAGCACAATTTATTACTGTTCATAATCATATCAAAGTACTCACAAAAACTTTCCAACTTCATTTATATAATTCCATCATTATTTTCAATCGCTTGATTTGACTGGTAGTAGTGTTTTCCATATTTCTGATATGAGTGAGGAGTCATTCCTATTGCGCATGTTGGATGTCGACTCGATGAACCAGGCAGGATTCATTAATCAACCTCTCTCTCTGTCTCCACCTACCTATATTACTTCTTAGGAGTTTAACCCTCTCCCACCCTATTGTGTGGTTGTGTCTTAATGCATGCAATGTAATCGATGAGTTTGTTTTCTAAATTACTTATCTTCTAGGGGTCAACCATTGTTACCTTAGCTAAATAAATTCGTGATCTACTATTTTGACCTATGTAGTTGACTTAACTCACTGTCATTGCAAGGCATTTTGTAAATTATATTATTTTGTCTAATTGGGTCGACCGAAAGGGTCCGTCAACCTACAGAGGTTGCCCAACCTGAGTGAGTTTGTAGGTTTGAATGCCACCTTTATTCATGCTTTATTGAGAATCCTACGTAGGGAGGGTCTCAGATGTCCCCTCCTTATGTAGTATAACAGTAGATGCCTTACATTCTTTCTTATTAATGTTATCATTATTATTTTCCCCCTTATTTTTATTTTGCTTTTGACTTTTTTTGATCTTCTTAATGAATTTTATTGGATAGTTATTTCTTACCAAACAGGTATTCTTCTGTCTGTTTAATTTCATCATTACAACTTTAATAAACAGATACCTGCACTCGATATTGAATGTCAGGTAACCGAAATTGTAGGTTAGGCAAGAAGAAACTCGGGTAATAAACCAAACAAGAACCTCTGCACCAGACAAACATGTAGAGGCAAATAGGGCACTGATTGAACATATGCTGAGAAGACCATCGGAGGTCACATCCTCGGTTGGAATCTGAATAGGAGATGAAGAGTTAAGAGTCCTAGAGCGACACAGTGGAGAGCATGTGAAATCGAAATGAAAGCTTGTCAGCAATCGTAGAGCTGACTGTAAACGATTGCAGAGAACAGAGTGTTGCTGTTGGAGTCCTATGTTCCATTTAGAGCCTCATGGATTGACAACGGCGATAATTCACTTACGGATGCAGATAATGACAATAGTTGCAGTAATTCCAACCATTAGTATTATTATCATCAGAAATAGTTGATACCATCAATCACATTATTATTCCCTTGGGTTTCGACCAGAAAATAAGGCCTCAACAGCGTATCTCCACTTCTTTCTGTTCTTCGTAGTTCTCTTTAACTGGCCGCATAGTTTTCCGTAAGCTTTCGTCTCTTTCATATCCCACTCAGGTTCCCCTCGAGCGCCTGACTCGTGATGTCCCCGTGTTTTACATATGCCTAGTCATCACCTTCCCCAACGATGGGCAATGTTAGCTGACATAGGGTCAGGCTGGAAAAGAGCTAACGGTGGCCAAACCAAAACATAACCTCATCAGTCAATGAAATCCACAACATTTAGTTTAAGCCAGCCACGTATGAAGATGTAGACTTCCTGGTTGGGGTCCTCGAGACGGTAAACAACAATGGCTGGAGATAATTGGCAATATGGCTCAAAATCCTCGTTGTCAATGGCCGATGCGTCTGCTCCTTGTGACTTATAATTTCCAATAAGACTATACTGTTCTTCGATATTACTACCCCTTTTGTCTCATTTCCTGTGTATTGTCTCTATTGTACATTTCTTTTTACTTTCTTCTCTTGCATTGTGTGCTACAAGGAGGGAGTGGGACGACTTGAACTGCTGCACAACGGCGCATAGTTCTATGTTAAAAAAAAGGCAGACAGACAGATGTCGCCCAACGGTCTCCTCATCCTGTAACCGATCCATCTCCATTTTCTTCCGGATATTTGATTGATGCGTTCTTAGAGTTTGTTGTTGCTACTTCTTTCCGAATGGTGGAACCAACGAAGGCAATTGTTGATGGAAGTCTGCAGTAGGCTGTTGAAAATGCTTTTTGTGAAGCATACGCTAAGTTTCTAACTGATATAGAAGAATCGAATTGATATATATTGGTGTTGAATATCTGAGTCTTGTTCTTTATGCTGACGCAGAGTAGTGCAGTGAAGTTCAGTGCAGCCGATTTTCAAACTAATGAAGGTCTTCTGTTATTCTTTTCCGATTCCAGTCTTGATATCCGTCTCATCTTTTCTGTCTGTAGTTGAGATGAAAGTGCCCTGAGTAGCATGAAGGCAGTGAGCTCTCTGAAATATCTTCGGTACACTTTTATTCCTAAAAAGTAGAAATAATAATATACACACAAATTAACACATGATTAACCATTCACGTGATCTCATGTGAAGTGTAAAGTACAATATGTGGGTAAATAGTACTTGTGTGCTATTCGAAAAGTACTCAATGGTGATAAGAAGAAGAAGAAAAGTGAAAAGTGCCTCTTGATTTTGAGCAGTTAACAAAATGCTTCTCACTAGTGTCTACACAATCGTCAGGGAAATAAATCAAAAAAAAAATCATTCAAAACTGTGGGTCTTCAAGGATTTCCAACAGCCTGTTGTAGAATTTCATCAACAGCTGCTCACCTTAACTGCTGCTTGGCTCCATACCGAAGATCAAATGGCCTATCAGAAAGAATAAACAACAAGAAACTCTGTAATGGAACAAACCAACCGACAAGAGTGGATGGCTCAACAAATATGTACGAGAAATTGGAAATGGGTGGATCGATGGATCGGCATACACTGAAGAGGCCGCTGAATGACATCTCATGCCAGACCACTGATCAAGTGAAATTCAAATAGGAAGCGACAAGTTGGTCGGCAGTGTGAGGATGACATAGAGGAGATCGTGTGACGAGAGGAAGAGATGAGATAAATTGGTCAATCGTAGATCCAGGTGAAGAGGACGGCAGAAAACAGAACAAAGTGGAGATGTGTTGTTGAAGCCCTCCCCTAAGTTCCACTCGGAACCCAAGCGAATAATAGTAATAATAATAATCAGCAAACTGAGAAATTTATACCGTGAAATTAATTCTTATTTGATCAACGTGCCAACTAAAGTGTAAATCAGCACATTCTAAATTCTACCTTGTCATTAACTCGATATTGGATCATGCAGAAAAACCTGATTTGGCTTCATTCATATCATTGTTCGTTTTAAAACAATTAGGTCTCTTTATGAATTTAGATAAAGCAATAAGAAGACATGATTTGTCTGAATCGTGTAATATATTTCCGAGCACAATACATTTCGAACAATCTGATCACACACATGGACTTGTCATAGGAATATATATCAAATTAATAAAGAGGTAAAAGGTAAGGTCAAGTTAAAAGGACATATTGAAGGTTAAAATGACAATGAAGACCACTAAACCAAATAGCAGAAGAAATAGTACATCCACCCTGACTGGTATCAAAAAAAAATTTACCAAAGAAGGTTTAGTGTGTGATGACGAATTGTTCTTGAACGCATAAAGGTGGTTTTAACTTCCTAATTGCCAGCTAGGGCTTCCACAAACTTTAGGATACGCCCGAAACACATTTTATAGATAGGTTTAAAAGATGTGCCAAGGTGTCAATTTTATGTCCTGTCTTCTCTGTAATATGTTTCGTGATAGGGGAGCTAGGTTTCCTGTTCTCACCGTTAATAGGTTCTGATGATTCCATTTGTTTCTAGAGTCATTTAGGAATATGCTCTGAAGCCAGCCCTTACTTGCAGAGATCGATGAGTCCTCCCTATGTATATGTGTCCACACGTACATTCAAATTGATAAATACAGTGAGATGTGACATCATTTTTCGCATGTTCGAAGAGCTTAGATAGATAAATTGGCTTCACATTCTCAATTAATTATGATATTAGCTGCATAAAAAGTCTTTTTAATAGCAGCGTTCAGTCTCTGTCTAGCTATCAAGTTGCTTTGATGCCCTAGATAGGGGAACTTGATGTATTGTTTGAGATGTTGCTCAAATACATTACACAATTCAGACAAATCACATCTTCTTATTGTTTGTTTTATTTTATGAGTAAAATTTGAGTTCGACTGTGTGAAACAAGACGCCTCTAGCTGCATTGCACTGGATGTTTAATCAGATCCGTCACGATCTTACATTAGTTAGAGAATGACTAAAAGCCTCGGGAACACTAGAAAGTTGCTTCATCCTAGAGCCATATTCTTCAGCAGTGAGCAACAGTGACTCCACTAGAGATCAAAATCAGGAGCTTTAAGTTACACGGCAGGCATGTTCTTCATTTATCAACTGGATCGAAATCAAAAGATCTAACACTTACACATCCGCAGAATAATCATCTTATCATCAGCCAACGCCATCATTTCGCATTCCATTAGAAGTTCACAACAATTATCCTCCCCAATACTCGGTGGTTTTCAATGATTCTCTGACTGGTATAACTCTGTAATAAAATCTGCAGTCGAATATTTAACCGGCGCCCCTCTTTAAACTTCTTCACGTAAACATTTAGATGGAAACAGCTAAAGAACGTCATGCAAGAGGTAAACCAATCGGTAAGCCATCACCATATCAAGCTATGGGTGGGATAACTGGATTCAGTTCACTTGCACCTGGTATTGCACGTATGGATGAAAGTGGTGCTGGTGGCCTGTTGTCAGAAGACGAGCTGAATGCACCGATTACATCATCTGATCATCCATTCTTACGAAGTCAGGCACAAGCCGTTTACGCTTATAAATTAGCTATCAATGATGTTGAAGGTAAGCAAGTTATTTCTATATTTAGAAACATTATTTCTTATGGGTTCAAATAAAAATGGCTAATTATTTTCAAGAATTAGTTTGTAGGGATTTTAATATGTTTTAGGTTAGACCACGGATTACTGGACAACAGTTTCATCATGGCCTGGGACTCTTCAGCAGTACGCCCCCACCAAGACTTGCATCTAGGACCTTCCAGTTACAAGTTAAGGTCGTATAGAACTTAGAATTCAGGGGTCATTGAATCTGGATTCAGTGGCTGAATGGTACACGAACTTGCCTTGTAACCGGAAGTTTCTTGGTTTGAAACCCAGTGGGTGCGTACTGGCAATGAATCCCGAACTAGAGTGAAACAGCTGTCCAGTTCTTCCTGCAGGTTTTCACTCGTTCTCTAAATGATATCGATCCGGTAAATACACCCACGCATTCAAGTATTGGTTCTCAGGGATTTGATTTGATTGATTACAGGATTTATTCAGCAGCTGACATCAGTTAGAGAACCCTTGGAAAACCTAGCATTGCTGAACAGCTTTTCCATCCCAGTGTTTGGGACTCTTCAGCGGCACGCAACCACCACCATGATTCGGACCCAGGACCTGCTGTTTACAAGGCTACCGAGCTTGTAGACCATTCAGCAACCATTGGCATCCGACCCAATCGCCAGCTCATGAATTCCACTTTCTACCAATTCACGACATAGCTCAACTACCAGCCAATGTCTTCAGCGATTATTTTTCCTCGCACCCCAGCTGCTGTGATTCGTGAATTCGTGACCGTTAGGGTATAGCAGGTCGGGTGTAAAGACAAATACTCGCCGAAGACATTAGCTAGTTCTGGCGCTATGTGTAAATTGGCAAAAGTTGAAATTCATGGGCTTTCCATTGGATCGGGTCCCAATGGTTGCTGAATGGTTTACGAGCTCGCCATGTGACCAGAAGATCCTGAGTTTAAACCCCCTGTTGTGGGTACGCACCTCTGAGGAGGCCTAGACTGGGACGACACCGCTGTTCAGTACTTTCTGTTGTTTTTTAGTGGATCTCTAACTGATGTAAGGTCATGATGAAAACCATGTCCACAAATTTTTGTGCTTTGTTACCTTTATTGCAGGTTTGTTTATAAGGGTCTCCATGTAATTATTTAATCCTTCAGGAAAATAGTTCCACGAACAATTAGTCCTTTAGTTCACTTGAAGCACAAATTGGTGACAAATTTCAGAGTCATATGAAAAGTTTAAGTATACTTGAGATGTTGTGTATTTCAAAAATATTTCAACTACTTTTACATATTCTTCGAAGGGTTGGCGTAGTTCTACATCTGAGTCTTCGACTACATGAGCACGTGAGTAGACATTTCGTTCTAGCTCAGAATGCGTGATTGAATGGAATCAATGTCGTTTAGCGTGTGTCGTCTCAGAGTTCTGGTGTTCGGATGAATGTGGTTGCGTCTGAGTGATTTCCAGTACACCTTTGGGTATTCATGTTGATCTGCACACTCTCTTAAGAAGTTCACCTTAGTCTTCGCGACTGCAAATTTGACGGAGTAACGTAGGAAACCTGATAAATCAAACCTTTGACTTGATACCAACGTCCGATAAGAACCTACAACATTTCAACTACTGTTCCAGGGCTGATTTGCAATGCTAACCGATCGGATATATTAGAAAATGAAGTGGTTATGTATGGTGACTATCTTTCGTTACCAGAATGTTAGATCACACCTTGTCATGTGGTGACTGACGGCAGTTACGTTCTCTCTGCCATGGTAAGTGGCATAATATCGCCGATATACTTTGTGGAGTAAAGTATGCAACGTCAAGTTCACAAACGTATTCTTGAATACTATTCAGCTTGGTTAGCCAGGCAGAGGAGAAAAGAAGAATGATAGCAGCCCTATCCTTGAATACTTTGTCATCTCCGGATATTGAACACCCCCACCTCCATGAATGCTTCACAGTGATACACAGAGCACCCCAATACCGTATAAAAGGACTTTGTATTTGCCATATGTACATAGCTGAGGCATTAGCTATTCGAGATCTGAAACCGGACCTCTGCATTCAAAGCGATACATACATTCTCTTGCCCTACCGTGTCCAGAGTAACGTTCTTGCTATAATTTTGCATCAATTTTTATTATGTAAGTTTATTATTATTATTATTTTATTACCATTATTATTCCCATCATCCATATTTTGTTACTGCTTATTATTAACGTTGCTTTTTCATACAGATTTTATATAAAAACACTCTATCGCCTTTCCACTACTTCCTGTCCATTCTACACGAGCTTACTGATTAGTCATTATCTCACACTTATTACCAAGATCAGCAACAGGGATCTCTGGAAGCGAACCAACCTAGCAGGAACCGATTGTGAAACAAATAGGCAGGAAGAAATGGAGATGGATTGGCTGGCCATACTCTGAGGAAACCATCGGGTGACATCACTAGACAAACCATTGCTCGAGTGGAACCCGAAAGGGAGGCGGCGAGTTGGTCGTCAGTGCAAAGGTGACTTGGAGGAGGTCATGAGAGGAGGAGATGAAAGCGTGTGGACAGACCTGGAGCGGGGTGAAAAAGTTGTCAGAAAACAGAAGGCAATGGAGGTGCGCAGCTGAAGCCCTATGTTCCTCTAGGAACTAAAGGATACAATAATAATACAATAATCACACTTATTACGTCATGCAAAATTCTGCTTCTTTTCTAACTTGCAATTAGTCATCCCTTCTAGGTGACACCTTACATTATGTGATGCATTTTTCGAGGACAAAGTTTACCAGTATTTGATCGATCTAAAGATTTCTTTGTTTAATATAATTACGATTATTGTACAGCTCATGGAAATGAATCGTCGAAGAGGGAAAATTTTCTTCTTCGCTGTTTGCGCCTTTTACTACTTTTGACTCAATATGGGTAAATTCTTAAGTAAGAAGGAAAATTAAATTGGTTAGTTTGTAAAGCTGCATAGATTGAGATGGATAGGAAAGATGGAATGTATTAGATGGTTTGAGGTAGTTAGCCACAGGAAGCCTTGTTTGACCTAGGTTACGTGCTAGTTGGCACTCACAAGTCAGTCAGCAAGGCATATCTGCAACCTTGAAGGAACTCATGTCCCTCCTTCTGGGATTCAAACCCGCATCACTCAGGCTTCACTGAGCCCGAATAGCTCGGTGGTAACGTGTCTGACTGCAGCACAGGGTGGTGACACGGGTTCGAATCTCAGAAAGAGGGAGACATGAGTTCCTTCAAGGTTGCAGATATGCCTTGCTGACTGACTTGTGAGTGCCAGCTAGCACGAAACCTAGGTCAAACAAGGCTTCCCGTGGCCGATTGCCCCAACCGTCTAATATCATCAAATCAATGTGCACCGTGATGGCAAGCCACCTAATGGAATGGTGGCCACATTGCACCAAAGAAATGACTAGACACACCACACTAGTTACCAGTGTCCAATCAAGCATGCGTTGTGTTTCTAACCCATATGAAAGAATTGATTTAACACTGAAGTTGGAAATCTGAACCTTGTTCTTTATGTTGATCTCAGCAAATTTTCGAAATTACTTCAGAGTAATCAATGTCTGTTTCGTCTTTCCGATTCTGGTTCCGTCTCTTGCAGTTGCAACAACGCTGCCTAGGCACGTAGACGAACTGATATCTTTCAAATTTCTTCTGTGGATGGTGGCTGTTGTTAGTTGGTTGTTTTCAACAGCTCCAACTTCTACTTTTGCATTTGAAGTCTTCTATTTGCAGCTTCTTCAGCCAGCTTGTTGCTTTTGCCTGTAAGTTTCCGAGCTTTTGTGACACTCAACACAAATCATCCGCTAAATCCAGACCTTCTAAATTCTGTTTGACAAAGTCGTGTGATTTATTCAGAACTACGGTGGCGTTTCCTTTGTCCGCCATTGATGTCAACACTTCATCCTCTATCGACAGAACAAAATGGGTGATCAACCTCTCATCAAGAGAACTAAGCTCTAGTGAGATAAAAGTACTTGAGAAAGGACTTAATTTTAACGTAACAGTTAATAGATTAAAACCAGAGGACGTTATTCCTAACATAGAAGCAGCACTAGGTTCAATAGACAAGACAACAGCAGAAGAAGTTAGAGCACAATGTGCGTTAACCCTGAAAAATCAAAAGAAGGCAAGATCAAACTTAACAAAATCAGAAAGGGAAGCTTTAATTAGTCTAAAACAGGATAAAAACATTGTCATCGCAAAAGCGGACAAAGGAAACGCCACCGTAGTTCTGAATAAATCTGACTATATCAAGAAAGTCAGTGAACATATTGAAACGGGTCCATATGAGGAAATTAAGAAGCCTGTAGATACAACAATGAATAAGGTAAAGAAATCTACAGCGGAATTATTACGGAGAATGAAGCCGTCACTGGGTGAGTCTAAATGGTTTACTTTAATGCCTAAAACTAATAATACTAGTAGAATATAGTACTATAAAAATACATAAACCAGGTTACCCCATAAGACCAATAGTAGATTTTAGAAATACCCCCACTTCTAGATTCTGCTTATCGATCCAACGTTTTCTTGTCTTCTCGCTCCCCATAGTCTTCCACATAATCCAATCCACCACAATCAGGAATACAGCCTTATGCTCAATTTCAAGGCTTCGTTGAGTGTTCTGCTGTGGATCACTTGACATGTTGCACTGTCACATAGCTGTTGAATTAGGTTGATACAGATTTGCGACACACCCATAGTGTTTTACAGTATGTTATATGTCATCGTCTTCTTCGACAAATAATGTTATAGATTCAAGGGGGGGTTGGATCAAATAAAAATCTCGAATCAGTCAATGAACTTTCTGAATGTTGGTATGATTTACACGAAAAGGTTAGAATAGCTTGACTGGCATCGTTTAGGCTGTTTGTGGCACTGGCGCTAAACCCTTCTTAAAAGTGCAGATGCATTCACTCTATGCAATCAGCCGAATTCAGTAAATCCTCATCATTATCTACGAACTCATTTCCTGTCCTATAC